TGTGGAAATGTGGGTTTTAAAAACTAAAACGTGAAACCGTCATAGCAACTGACCAGAAAGATACCTCTGACCACAGACATGTCTGTAACTGAACCGCAAAGCCCTCAGAGCTCAGCGGCGTTTCCTCTGTGTTCATGAAGACGAAGAAAAGTCCAAAATAAGCCAATTTCTTCCCATCATTCATCCGAGTGTCTCATCCAGCTCCGGATTTCTCTTTAGAGAGCAGCTTTGTATGATTCAGAGTTACATCTTATTCTGATTGGCTGACTTCTGGAAGCCTGTTGAGGCTTTTGAGCTGCAGTTCTTGTAGAAAAACACACCTGGCTCCTTCGTACCTGCTTGATGATTATCGTGTTTCTGTGGCGTGTTATGCTGACTGGTGGGTCGTGAACAGAAAACTGCAGATTTGAGCTTATTTGTCATAAAACGTGTCACATCCACATTTACAGAGTGGGGAGGAAAAAGGCTTATTAATGTGACTGCTGTATGTGCACACAGTAGAAACACAGAGCAAACACTGCTTCTCTTTGTCTCCAGGTGTGTTTACCTCGACACGAGTGTCCCGGATTCAGGCTCCCGTTTTTCCATTTGTGGATCATTTTGTGATTTTTTGCTGCAGTTTGATGTGAAAAAAACAAACAATGAGAGCAGGAAACATCCTCACTGTGGGAGTGACGAAGAAAACTTTACTCTTCGGATGAAAGTACGTTTACTTCCACATAGCAAAGAATTAATATGGCACCATAAGAAAAATGCTGCCCCACACACACACAGTGCAAAAGTCTTGAGCCTCCATCACGTGTTCATATTTGAATGAAGGTTTTCCAGCCTCTGAACGCCAACAATGAATCAGACTCAGTTTAACAGCCTTGGAGATGAAGCGTGAGGACGCACGGGGAAGTCCACAACCCGGGACGCTCGTGTCCACAGACACACTCAACAATAATCGCTTTCACGTCGCCCGCCGACTTTCCATGAAATATTTTGAGATATTGTAAATGAAGCTAAAGTGACCGTCTATTTTCTAAAGATGTATTTCTCCCGCTCTTTGTTTTCACATGTATTTGTGCTGTTTGAGATTTTCACGTTTTCTACGCTCACAGTGATGTTTCTGTTGTAAAGCTCAGTTTGTGATGTTTCTGTAATAAACAGGTTTGTTTACGCTGACCTTCATGTTGGTGTTCCTCCTT